AAGAATTCAACAAATCTAGTTCTACTACCATCATATCGCAACAATACGATACAATGCCCTTTTCTCCCATATACCACACAAAGCCATCTTGTGATCCCATCTACATCCATGTAATTTGAAAGAAAATTTTGGAATCCGGCTGAAGTCATCTGAAATCTTCATGATTCCAGACTTAAACTCAGATTTCTGTTCGTTTTCTCTATCATTTCACGAGTACTTACAAAAAACTATCATAATCAACATTTCGACTCCCTAAAAACGAACAACACACAGACCTCAGGCTGAGGTTAAGGCAGTTAAGCCAAACAACAACAACAATACCCATTCGTTTGCTTTCACAAAAAGCGATTTCACAAAGTTAAAACAATTCAAATTTCACTACAATACGAAAAATGTTGTACAAATAAAATGTACAGTTGAATACAACCTTCCAAGAAATACAATCGAATACACTCGAATGAGCACTAAAAAAAACGCAAATGAAAAACATTGCCCCACAAATAAAAACACGAATACAAACCCATACTCCAACAAACTCAATCGCATCATTCATCAATTCAATTATTTAATTTAACAACAAACTGACAATGAGCATAAAATCAGTCTTTTCGTTAAGAAAACCGCAAAAATTTTTTTTTGTTTTTAAGAAAATCTTCGAGCTTTCCTTCATAAAAACTGCGGACGACGGAAAATCAATTGAATTTAGCGGCTACACGAGATTTTCTCGCACCTCTAGCACCACGTCTCGACGCCGTTCCTCCTCCGGTCGTCGTCGATCCAGTGGTGCCTCCACCCGAACCGTATTGCTGACTAGCAGCTGCTGTCTTGGTTGACGAGATGCGTTTCGTTGAAGACGATGAGCCGCCAGTTTCAGGCGACTGGGGAGTAGCAGTCGTACCCGACAAGCTTTTCGAGGACTGCTTTCCAGTATTATTATTATTATTACCATTTCTGGCAGTACTAATCGACTTCTTGTTGCCATTATTATCCTTACTAATGCTACTATCATTATTTGTTCTAATTGCACCCGCAGCTTTTTGTGATCCTAATAATGCAGCCGTACTTGTCTCCTCATCTTCATTGCTTTTATTCTGTGCCGTAGTCACAGTTCGTTTCATTACCTGAATGCAGACATTACCTGAATATCTTAACTAAATGCAATAATTTCTTTNAAAACCAGTCTTTTCGTTAAGAAAACCGCAAAAAACTTTTTTTTTGTTTTTAAGGAAATCTTCGAGCTTTCTTTCACAAAAACTGCGGACGGAAAATCAATTGAATTTAGCGGCTACACGAGATTTTCTCGCACCTCTAGCA